CAGTGCACATCACTACACTATGACACACACGAGTGGACATCATCACTACACTATCACACACACACGAGTGTACATCACTACACTATCACACACACAGAGTGTACATCACTACACTATCACACACACAGTGTACATCACTACACTATCGCACACACGAGTGTACATCACTACACTATCACACACAGTGTACATCACTACACACACACACGAGTGTACATCACTACACTATCACACACACACACTAATGTACATCACTACACTATCACACAGACACACGAGTGTACATCACTACACTATCACACACACACACACACGAGTGTACATCACCACACTATCACACACACACGAGTGTACATCACTACACTATCACACACACACACGAGTGTACATCACTACACTATCACACACACGAGTGTATATCACTACACTATCACACACACACACAAACGAGTGTACATCACTACACTATCACACACACACGAGTGTACATCACTACACTATCACACACACACACGAGTGTACATCACTACACTATCACACACACGCAGTGCACATCACTACACTATGACACACACGAGTGGACATCATCACTACACTATCACACACACACACGAGTGTACATCACTACACTATCACACACACAGAGTGTACATCACTACACTATCACACACACAGAGTGTACATCACTACACTATCACACACACAGTGTACATCACTACACTATCACACACACGAGTGTACATCACTACACTATCACACACAGTGTACATCACTACACACACACACGAGTGTACATCACTACACTATCACACACACACACTAATGTACATCACTACACTATCACACAGACACACGAGTGTACATCACTACACTATCACACACACACACGAGTGTACATCACTACACAATCACACACACAGAGTGTACATCACTACACTATCACACACACAGAGTGTACATCACTACACTATCACACACACACAGTGTACATCACTACACTATCACACACACACACAAGTGTACATTACTACACTAACACACACACACACGAGTGTACATCACTACACTATCACACACACACAGAGTGTACATCACTGCACTAACACACACACGAGTGTACATCACTACACTATCACACACACACAGTGTACATCACTACTATCACACACACAGTGTACATCACTACACTATCACACACACAGTGTACATCACTACACTATCACACACACAGTGTACATCACTACTATCACACACACAGTGTACATCACTAAACTAACACACACACACAGAGTGTACATCACTACACTATCACACACACACGAGTGTACAACACTACACTATCACACACACACGAGTGTACATCCCTACACTATCACACACACACAGTGTACATCACTACACTAACACACACACACGAGTGTACATCACTACACTATCACACACACAGTGTACATCACTACACTATCGCACACACAGAGTGTACATCACTACACTATCACACACACACACAGAGTGTACATCACTACACTATCACACACACACAGTGTACGTCACTACACTATCACACACACACACACACGAGTGTACATTACTACACTAACACACACACACACGAGTGTACATCACTACACTATCACACACACACACGAGTGTACATCACTACACTATCACACACACGCAGTGCACATCACTACACTATGACACACACGAGTGGACATCATCACTACACTATCACACACACACGAGTGTACATCACTACACTATCACACACACAGAGTGTACATCACTACACTATCACACACACAGAGTGTACATCACTACACTATCACACACACAGTGTACATCACTACACTATCACACACACGAGTGTACATCACTACACTATCACACACAGTGTACATCACTACACACACACACGAGTGTACATCACTACACTATCACACACACACACTAATGTACATCACTACACTATCACACAGACACACGAGTGTACATCACTACACTATCACACACACACACACGAGTGTACATCACTACACAATCACACACACAGAGTGTACATCACTACACTATCACACACACAGAGTGTACATCACTACACTATCACACACACACAGTGTACATCACTACACTATCACACACACACACAAGTGTACATTACTACACTAACACACACACACACGAGTGTACATCACTACACTATCACACACACACAGAGTGTACATCACTACACTATCACACACACACAGTGTACATCACTACTATCACACACACAGTGTACATCACTACACTATCACACACACAGTGTACATCACTACACTATCACACACACAGTGTACATCACTACTATCACACACACAGTGTACATCACTAAACTAACACACACACACAGAGTGTACATCACTACACTATCACACACACACGAGTGTACAACACTACACTATCACACACACACGAGTGTACATCCCTACACTATCACACACACACAGTGTACATCACTACACTAACACACACACACGAGTGTACATCACTACACTATCACACACACAGTGTACATCACTACACTATCGCACACACAGAGTGTACATCACTACACTATCACACACACACAGAGTGTACATCACTACACTATCACACACACACAGTGTACGTCACTACACTATCACACACACACACACGAGTGTACATTACTACACTAACACACACACACACGAGTGTACATCACTACACTATCACACACACACAGAGTGTACATTACTGCACTAACACACACACGAGTGTACAACACTACACTATCACACACACACAGTGTACATCACTACACTATCACACACACACGAGTGTAGATCACTACACTATCATACACACACACAGAGTGTACATCACTACTATCACACACACAGTGTACATCACTAAACTAACACACACACAGAGTGTACATCACTACACTATCACACACACAGTGTACATCACTACACTATCACACACACAGTGTACATCACTACACTATCACACACACACACAGTGTACATCACTACACTATCACACACACAGTGTACATCACTACACTATCACACACACAGTGTACATCACTACACTATCACACACACACACAAAGTGTACATCACTACACTATCACTCACACACAGAGTGTACATCACTACACTATCACACAGTGTACATCACTACACTATCACACACACACGAGTGTACATCACTACACTATCACACACACACACGAGTGTACATCACTACACTATCACACACACACAGAGTGTACATCACTACACTATCACACACACAGAGTGTACATCACTACACTATCACACACACACAGAGTGTACATCACTACACTATCACACACACAGAGTGTACATCACTACACTATCACACACACAGAGTGTACATCACTACACTATCACACACACAGAGTGTACATCACTACACTATCACACACACACAGAGTGTACATCACTACACTATCACACACACAGAGTGTACATCACTACACTATCACACACACAGAGTGTACATCACTACACTATCTCACACACAGAGTGTACATCACTACACTATCACACACACGAGTGTACATCACTACACTATCACACACACAGTGTACATCACTACTATCACACACACGAGTGTACATCACTACTATCACACACACACACACACACGAGTGTACATCACTACACTATCACACACACACGAGTGTACATCACTACACTATCACACCCACCTCGTGTGCCGGCCTTCACAGGTGCTCACCAACAGCACTTGCTCCTACAGTCTGTGAAAGGTGACACGCGGGAGATGTTTGTGTTTGTTGTACACACACAGACGCTATGGCGGTGTTTATATCCACGCTGCTGCTGCTGTGATCCACTGCCTCCCACGGGCACTACCGCACAGTAGGGCTGAACGATTAATCGATTCAAAATCGAAATCGCAATTATAAACAACGCGATTAGCAAATCGCAATGGCTGCGATTTTTTGCGATTTAAAAAGTCCTGTCAGTTTCTATTTGGAATTGTTAAGTGTTTTATTATGATGACTTCATTTATTTAACTTAACAGTTGTGACATGTTTGATTGTTCTTTTAAAATTAAAATATTTTAATGAATACACGTTGGAAACAATTCATATCTTTAAAGTTCTCATCCTTGCATTAGAATAGAATGAGCAGTTCATATTGTGATGGTATCACGTGGTAATGCTCCATCACGTGTTTTAAATCTATCACACAATGAATATCGAACTGAAGCTTGATTTCCAATTTTTTTAATCGCAAATCAAATCGCAATATCTGTCAGAAAAAAATCGCAATTAGAGATTCTCCCCAAATCGTGCAGCCCTAGCGGACAGAGCGCCCCACCTCCTGGCACCTCGCAAAGCCCCGCACGGACAGCCACCACCCTGCCTAGCAGGTGCTACAGGCTGCGGGGTCACGTGGTGGGGCAGTCACCACCCTGCCTCGCAGGTGCTACAGGCTGCGGGGTCACGTGGTGGGGCAGTCACCACCCTGCCTAGCAGGTGCTACAGGCTGCGGGGTCACGTGGTGGGGCAGTCACCACCCTGCCTAGCAGGTGCTACAGGCTGCGGGGTCACGTGGTGGGGCAGTCACCACCCTGCCTAACAGGTGCTACAGGCTGCGTGGCTACGTGGTGGGGCAGCAGGTAGCGGGGCAGACAAACGCACCGCTGTACTGTACTTCTGTGCTCTCGCCAGCCGCGCTGCCTGACTTCGCCAACGCGCGGTGACCGGCGTGGTGAAGTATGGTCAAATATCCCCCGCGACCCGCACGGTGTAGGGAGGCAGTGGATTGACAAAGTGCCCGTTAGATGTCATCACACCGCTAGCTACACACACTACAACGTTGTGTAACAATGCTCATTATGAATTGCTCTATTGTAGTGTACGTGCGTGTTAGTGCACGAGTGATATTGTTAAAGTGCTGCTGTTGTTACCACGGCTACTGTGATTATCGTTACTGCAGATGGACGCTCACCGACTGTGGACCCAAACTCGGCCTACAACAAACTCCAGATTTCCTCGGACCTCAGGACGGTGACGCTGACCGCTGTCTCCCAGGGTCGCCCCGATCACCCACACCGCTTTGATCACTGGCGACAAGCCCTGTGCTCAGAGAGCTTCTCGTCGGGTCAGCACTACTGGGAGGTGGACGTGGGGGGTGCGGCCTGGGGCTGTGTGGTTGGAGTCGCGTACGGGACGATCGCACGGAAAGGGCTTGGTGACGAGTGCGAGCTGGGACAGAACGACTCATCCTGGGTTTTATATAAAAATAACAACAGCTGGTCAGTGCGTCATGGTGGTGTAGAGACCTCAGTGCCGGTGAGGGATCCTCCCCGGAGAGTTGGGTGTCACCTGCACTGGGAGGCGGGGCTGCTGTCGTTTTACCGCGCCGACTCCATGGAGCTGCTGCACTGCATTCACCACTCGTTTAGTCAGCCTCTCTACCCCGCACTGTGGGTATGGGGTGGTGTTGGTGACTCAGTGAGGATTCTGGATCTGAGTCATGCGTCCTGAGAGCACGGAGTGTGAGCAGTGCAGAGAAACGGGCACAACGCACAGACTCACGCACACAAAGACACAGATCCCCCGTGCAGCCTTAACAGGCTGTTGGAGGCAAGTGCTGTCAGGGAGGACCTATGAAGGCCGGCACAGCACTCGAGGTGGTGGGTGGCCAACAACAAGCCCGACGGCCTTTGTCTCCCTAGTGGCGATGTTTACACATCGCACCAGGTACTCATTTGAGGCTGAGTCGACCTAGGAGAAGCCCATGACCGGTTTACCAACACCATTGATAGCGATTATCTGAATCGGTCTTGGGTCTCCCCTAGGTCGACTCAGCCTCAAATGAGTACCTGGTGCGATGAGTAAATATCGCCCCTGGGGATACAAAGGCGGGTCTCTCCCAGGCTGGCCTACATAGGTGCTACTCACTAACAGCACCTGACCCAAAAGTTTTTTAAGGCTATACGGGCGATCTGTGTCTTTTGGTGAGTGGGTTGTTCTGTGTATGCCCTTGTCTGTGTTTGTGTCTTTGTTGTTGTGTTTCTGTCTTTGTGTCTGTCTGTCGTTGTCTTTGTGTGTGTGGCTGGGCATGGTGCTGGCCACCCACCCCCTCGTGTGCCACAGTGCCAGCCTTCATAGTTGCTACTCGCTACTAACAGCACTTGCCCCAACAGTCTGTTAAGGCTACACGGGGGATCTTTGTCTTTAGTGTATAGAGGGGCATGTACGTAGTGTGGAGTGGAGCGGTGGTGCAGTGGTTAGCGCACTGGTGGGGGAGGGCAGGGGGGAGCCAAGGTTCTCTCTGATGCCATCGTCCCTCGCACTGCACCGCACGCCGCGTGGTGCTCAACGCAGAGAGAGCGGAGTTCCACCGCGGGCGTGATGGGAACACGTGTCACGTGACGCTGCGGGGTGACGCGCGCTGTTCCCTCATGGCTACTCGCTCGTTGGGCGATAAACCAGCGGTGGGAATGGGATGGCATCACTTGGGGGAGACCTGCTTGTGGCGTTTGAGCTGGGCTAAAAACTTTTGTTAGAACCAGGGGTCAGGTGACTCTTCCCCCACCCAAAGCAGTTTTATTTTACAGGGCATAGAGAAAGAGAGAAGCCACACCTAGTAGTAGAAGGAGGAGATATTTCACCACCAATATTATTCATAATAAAAGTTTATTTTTATTAATATTTTAATTCTCTGCTCTCAGACTGAGACTTGGACCTGCAGTCCTTCAATTCATGGGATAACGCCTCCCTCTGCTGACAAAAATGGGAACTGTCCTTTGACTTTGAAGTGGGTTAAAGTAATTAAGCGCATGATATATATCTCGAGTGAAGATCTACCTTACACTACAACACGACTAATATTGTCTCAACACGCATTAATAACACAGACACTGTGTGTTATTACAGGGATAATGACAACGCGAACTCCAAATATACAGCAGCTGTCACGGTAGTAATCTAACCCACGACCTCCTGCATACCAGGCGAGGGACTTAACATCTCCTAGCCACCGCGGCACCCCTCCTTAACGTGAGACACCAATCCGGTGTGAACCCAATCTCGAGTCTGATGCTGTTTAGCAACACGTAGATGATTTGAGACGCATTGATTATATCGTACCAGTTGTGTACTTGTGTGAATGCTAATCGCATTGTGCTCGGGACTCTGGGTGAGATTTCTATTTGCTTCATTGCTGGCATGGGTTTGACTTGTTTTGATTTTTTTCATTTTTGTGACCCAGGTCACTCTTGTCAACGAAACTCATCCTGATCTCCTGAGTTCTCACCTCGTTAAACTCAAATTCAACTCAACTCGATCATCATCAGCATCAGCAGAAGTGTCATCTGCAGCAGAATCAGTAGTAGCAGCAGGACCAACAGCATCAGCAGTGGTAGCTCCATCATTAGCATCATCATCGTCAGCATCAGGAGTAGTACCAACAGCATCAATAATAATAGTAGCATTTTCAGCAGCAACAGAATGTTCACCATCAGCAGTAGAAGCAGCAAAAGCAGCAGCAATCACTCTTGCAGCCGAGACTCATCCTGGTCTCTTGAGTTCTCACCTGGTTAAACAAATTGACTTTAACACAAATTACTTGATTGTGTTCGGGGTTACCTGTGAATTGGAATACTATTTTATTGTGGGTCAAGGGTCCATGTGTGTGTGGTGATTAATAAAAACATTAAATCTGAACATCACTTTACTGTGCTGGGATGTTTGGGCCCACGTTTGGGTGAGTTTCCTCGTTTCTCTGTGGCTGGGCGGTAGCAGTTTGACATCTTGATATCAGTGGTGGCTATGCACGTGGCCTGTAATCCCGCACTGTGGAGCTGAGGGTTGGTGGGACCCCTCGAATGTTGTGAAGCCCACTTCCCGAAGGAGCCGAGCAGATGCCGTGCCCCAAGCTGGCTCTGCCAGGAGAACTCCGTATTGCAAAGTGTGGACTAAAATCGTCTGTCCCTTCTGTATGGCATGGAGTGTAGCGCCGTTTCAAGCGCAGGCTTTATGCGGGTCGACCAAATTCTTCCCACATGCACACATACAAACATTCATTGACTAAAGACATCTTAACATACATAGAGGAGTGCAGACATTTGGTAATAAGTTTAACACGTTGGCTTTCACGACCAATATCCTCAATAACACATTTGGGGGGGGGGGGGGGTTAGAACCCGTAAATATATAAATGATGAAGCTAGTTGTAATCAGTGGTGAAACGTCGTACTCAGATTATAAATGTTGTGGCTTGGCTTTTCATCACACCGGTGTGCTGTACTATTAACGAATTAGCATGTTCTATTTATGTGAAAAACCTTACTAATTGGCTGTGTCGGGTGGTAGCAGGTTTATTGACACATATTTATAGATTTGGTAATCGTTGGTGAAGCCAGCTAATCACCACCTGACTGATGCTTTCCCGCTTGCCTCTGGTTCCTCGACGATCATGAGAGATGTGCTTTGTGCACGTAATGTCATCAGAATGGAATCTCACGAAAAACCGATGACATACGCATACGTCATCGAAATAGGTTAATATATACATCAGTTGAACAATCGAAATCATATACATGACTCATTATGTACCCAACATATTCAAACTGTGTACTATACTATACTTTGCACGACGTTTCGATCACAACACAAACAATCGTCATCAGGTGGGACAACGACAGCAAGAAAAAACTGCTGAAGTAGGCGAGAGATCTGCCGTGGCATGAGGTTATATAGTAGGCCTCGGCAGTAGGGGGGGAGAGAGAAGAGGGGGGGAGGAGGCGCGGCAGAAAGTGGACCCCGCGGCAGCCCTGGGTCACTGGAGTAAAGTGGACCACGGCAGCAGCACTGGAGAGATCGGCTGCATGGAAGGAGAGAGAAGGGGAGGGAAGGAGGCGGGGCAGAAAGTGGACCCCACGGCAGCACCCGGGTCACTGGAGTAGAGATCGGAAAGAGATGCACAGAGAGAGAAAGACACAGAGAGTCGGAAATAACAGCTGACATAGGCAGGTAGGATGTAAACATCACTGTCAGTTAAGACTTTACCTGGTTAATAACGTCCTTCCAATGATTGCTCAGTTTGTACCCATCTTCTCGGTTCAAGTTGTGTCTGTGTTTATATATCTGGATGACTTCATGAACAAATCTCTGATAATAGCCGGTGGGTTTGCAGAGTACCTTCGTCTTGGAAAAGTCAATTTCGTGTGAGCCCACTTTGTTAAAACAATGATCAGCAACAGCAAAGGTATTGGTCCTACCGTGTTTCAGATCTGAATTGTGTTCATGAACGTGGTCCGAGACGTTGTTTCGTTTCCTCAATGTAACTGCTGCCGCAGCCACAACTCAGTTTGTAGATACCCGGGTATTGCATATCAGGAATCACATCCTTTACAGATGGGATCAAATCACGGATTTTGTGTACTGTGTTGAAACGAACCTGGATCTTGTGTTTGTTTAAGATTTTGGAAATCTTTTTGGTAACCCCTACTATGTATGTCAAAGTAAAGGTATTGGTTGGATCCTCAGATGGTTGTTTCCCCATGGCTGGGGAGACAGCTTGTACTGTATGCTGTTCTTGACTGAATTATGTAGATTCAAATAAGTGACTTAACAGAATGTACATATCCAACATACTTTTTTGTTTATCTCTGGTCTCTTTTCTTCATCACATTGGTGCTTTATACGACTGAGGTTACTTAGGGGTCACAAAAGGGAGAGAGGAGGGAAATATATAAGAGGTGAAAGAATAAATAACCTGAGATTCGCGGACGACATAGATCCGATGGAAGAAAGCTGCGTAATAGTACTGCAGGGAAGTCTTCTTACGTGGAATAAGTCAGGAAAGGATGCAGGACTGAGGATTAACGTGGAAAAGACAGTCAATGGTGTCGGAATGGAGGGCGTTGAGCAAGAAGTAATAATAGATAGTGGCAAGATTGAGAATGTAAATTAATTTGAATATTTGGGAAGTCGACTGACATGGGAAAACGACTGCCTGAAAGACAAAAGAAGAGCGAGGATCACAAAGGCAAAAGGAGGAATGGCAGGATTCAATAACATTTTGAGAAGCAGGTAAATCGGCTGCAAGACCAGGCTGAACATCTTAAGAACATGCGTTTTCAGCACAGCTTTGTATTCCTGCGAGACTTGGAGATTGAAAAAGACTAACAAAGATAAGATATTGACACTCGAACTGTATTGCAACAGAATGATACTGCATCTAAGCTGGACGCAAAGACTGACCAACGTAGAAGCAAGAACAAAGGTTGCACAGAAGAAGACCGATTGCAGGCAGCGATGAGAAAGAAACGGGCACTATTTGGACATTATGTGGGATGAACAACAGCAGGAAAATGTAATGTCAGTTGTTCGGAAAAATGGAAGGAACAGGAAAGAGAGGAAGAATTAACAGAGAATGACTTGACGATGACATCATGAAGAGGTTGGTGCCGGAAAGATTTGGCACTACTTGAGGAGATTAGCACAAGACGTAAGAATGGGGAAACAAATGACGAAATGTGCAGTTGACACCTACGGGCTATCTGCCCATGGATCGTGATGATGATCTTCAAGGGAGCTTTGTACT